GTATTTACAGATAACATGTGGGACCCTAAACACCGGCAGGTCTGTAATTTTAAGTTCACTAATTGTGACTGTAAAAGTGGCGTACGCGTGTCAAAACAGTAGCGCTGCAACTACGCTTCTAAATATTGTATGAAAATTGTGTGAGAAAAGTGTAATATGCAATAAAACTGCAAAATGTGTACACTGTAATAAGTAACAAGAATACTAAAAATTATAATTATAATTTTTTTAAACGTAATCTAATATAGAAAAGCCAGGTCAAGAGTCTTAAACGCAGAGTGTGTATGAAAGTATTGATGTGTGTTGATGAAGAAAATATGTGTCTCAGAAAGGAGTACCAAGGAGTACCAAGGAAGGTTTTGTATGTATGTTATACCTTTTTTTTATAATACCTAGTGGCAGAACGAACAAGTCGTGCGCATGGTGTTAAGTCACACGCCTATTCATAGCAGTTGCACTGTCACTCAGAGCTTTAAATAGCAAGGATCTGAGGGACACTGCCACTGCGCCTGTCACCCTGAGACATAAGTTGACAAGTCCCACATGCCTGTAATTAAACCAGCAACCTTACCCTTCATAAGCGAAATACAGTAATGCTCACATTACTGCTTGGCGGCAAAAATAAGTAAGGTGGCTGTACTTCCCTGGACGAACTCTTTGACTAGGAGATCTTCTGCTACTAAAATCTGTCTATCTAACGGAACATATATGCTATTAATCACAAAATTTAATATCCCATTATACTAAACGTTAAAATGTTACTGTCGACATGTTCAGCTACTGTTGTTAGGCGTTGCAACGGCGGCACTGCGCGCGCGCAGTACTTGAGACAATTGAGACAAATGAGCGCGGCGCCACGCTTCGACGGCGGGTAAGTGCCTAACTGTACAGAAGACCAGCGCCTAAACGCAAGTACTATTGACTGATATTTAATGGAACACTTATTGTAATGTTATTCAAATCGGCAAACAATTAGCCGGTCCGCCTGTTGGAAAGTGGTGACCGTCACATAACACTTGATAACGCAACGGTTGCAGGCCG